AACAAGAAACTCTGTTCATCTCTTGTTTACGGTTGCATTTTGAGTAATCTGTTTTCCAAAGCTGGGCTTAGAGTCGGTCTAGATGCTGTTTTCCCCCTTAAGAAACAAATTAACCTTCTTTCCTTAACGAGAGCGGGATGAATTAAGGATAAGGAAATCGGTGAATGGGTTCGATCTTCTGCAAATACTCCGGGAGCTAGTTGTTCACAAGCTCCACCCGAAGCTGACGAAGATCTCGAGCTTGAGCAATTAATGCGAGACATCGATGAAGTCGAAGATGAGCCTGAGCAGCCCGAGGAGCAAGAACAACAAACGCATCAAATGCCTCCATATTTTCAATCCTTTATAGAGACATTCGATTTCCAATATGCTACCATGGATTCGCGCTTTACTTCTATAGAGTCCCATTTATCCACAATGGGAGCTCAACAATTAGAAATTCTTCGGGAGATGTGTGCAAACAATGAAGCAACCAACGCGCGTATTAATGACCTCACTCATGAAATGGCTGCTATGCGAGCTCGTTTTCCTCCTCCTGATCCTTATATGTGATTCTATGTTTTGCTTTGAACTCCAAACTTATTGTTTTAACAGTTTGAATATTTTGGAATGTTTGAATTTGTGGATTGATTAACTTTGAATTTGTTTGGATTTATGAATGGTTAGAACTTATCTATTTGGTGTGATTAAATTTATTCATTATTGCATCATTTACTTCATGATTAGATATATGACCAATTTTTCCATGTCACATTAATTATGAATATTGATTATGAAACTAATGGCTAACGTTTCTCTTGCTTGTGATCTTAGCAGCTTATATTATATATAATCAATTGGCTAAATGATTTCAAAACCTTGTTTAAATTCTTTAAAATGTCTTTTTGATTTAACAGAAAAGGGGGAGAAGTGTTAAATGTGTTTTTAAATGATAAATGGGAGAAGTGTTAAAGTAAGGGGGAGTAATTTGTAAGGGGGAGTAATTTCGAAACTTGATTTCAAAATCTCAAAATCTTAAAATTACTAAAATGTTTTGTTATATCAAAAAGGGAGAGATTGTTGAAAACACTTTGATATTTCGATATAACAAATTAAGTTAAATGAATTTTAAGATTTTCCAAATGATTTTCTAAGTATATTCGATATAATTATTCGAATATCAAAACATTACTCCAAATCTTTCAAAGATCATTTTTAATCCTTACTTAAGTGTAAAATTAAATTTTAATCTTAAAACAATTTCAAAATAATTTTACAAAGTATTTCGAACCATTTCAAAGCCAAAAATTCCAGATTGCTCAGAGGAAACCGATTCCCCCCCCAAGGGGGTACCGATTCCCCTCCAAGGGGGTACCGATTCCCCCCTGAATGGTTTGGCTCCGAGAATTCCAGTATGCTCGGAGGGAACCGATTCCCCCCCAGGGGGTACCGATTCCCTCCTTCTATAACGGTTGAAATATTTAAATTTTACACTTAGGGAATCGATTCCCCATAGGGGGTACCGATTCCCCCCACGCTCCAAGCTGTTTTATTAATTATTTTCACACTAAATTTGCTATATTATCTTCTCTAATCATCCCCAACGTTTAGAAGTGATTCAAGGTGTATTTAAGCAAGCTTAGAAGCCATTGATCAACAACAAGAAACATCAAGCAATTAGAATCAAGAGAGAATCAAAGAGAAAGCATCAAACCTCAAGTTTGAGCATTTCAAGCCTATTTTTCATTCAATATTCATTTTGCTTTCAAGAGCACTTATTGTGCTCAATTGTATTCATTCTTGAGTGTTCTTTCTTTGTTCTAGAATTGTGCAAACATATTTGACTTGTGAGGTTTTTCTTGTAAGTTTGCAAATTTGTATTTCTCTTTGAAAAAAGAGTGTTCTCAAGAATTGGGGTATATTCTTGAGGGAGTTGTAAGGTTATCTCTTTGGCCTCAAAAGAAAGAACAAATTAGTGAATTTGTTGGAAAATCCTTAGTGTGGATAGCTAAGGTAGTGGACGTAGACTTTGGTTGATAAAGTCGAACCACTCTAAATCGCTGTGCAATTTCTTTCAATTTTCTGCAAAAGCTTCCACCAAAATTTTTATTGCCAATTCACCCCCCTCTTGGCCGATTCAGTCAATCGATTAACTCAACACCAACCTACCTAACTTAATGGTTGGTGGTGACTCCAAAATCAAATCATTTTTCAAAATCATATTTCATCGCCTTTACCCGAAAACAAATTTTTTATGTCTAACGGGTTCCCAGAGGAAACGTTATGACATGTAAACTACACTGTTAGTATCCGAACTATAACTTTTGTTCCATTTTGGTTGTTGAACTTTTTTTTCAAAATTATACATAACGTTAAGTTTTGGTTTCATTTGGTCACCCAACGCTAAAAAATTAACAGAACTGTTGACATAACATTTTTCATTTTTTTGAATGATGACATGGTATTACCTTATAGTGATACGTCAGCATCACCATTAATGTTTTAGTAGCAGGTGACCAAAATCAAACAAAAATTAAATGTTCCAACAAAAAATAGTTGAATGATAAAAAAAATGATAGTTGGGTACTAAACGTGTAGTTTACCCAAAATAAAAATAGAAAACAGACTAATGTTAGATATTAGTTACGATTAAGGTTTAAATTTTCAACAAACACGTTCACATTCAGTCAAAAATAGTAGATCAAGAAATGGTTTTCCATCTGCTTTCATCCTGCCTTTTTCCTTGGCCTTCGGGAAAATTTATGTTTGTATTGCCAAACCCCATTTCATCCCTTTTAAAGTTGCCAAAAGCACAATGGTTTGACCTTTGGCACATTCATCTTTCATTTTACACTTTGTTTTTTCCCCAATTTTTTCTCTTAATTTGAGCTTTGGGCATGTCACGATTGCGTTTTCCAATGCTTTGTTCTGTTCTGGATATGGATTTGAGCTTTTAATGTGTTAATTACAAATGGGTTGTTCTTTGTTTACCTCATGAAAGTTTGGTTGCTGAGAAAATTTGTTAACCCTTTGGAAGGAATTGCCAGGAATGTTTCTATTTCATTTGTGTTGTCTGCAAATTTTCTGAAGAATTGCATTTAGACGATAGGGTTATTCTCATGACTCAATAATTAATCCTTTTACAAAAATGATTAAAGACATTGATGTGTTTTTGTTATACTTTAATGTTGTCAAGAAGAGACGAGCTTTGTCTTTGGAAATGATATTGTGACAATAATTTGGTTGAATAAGCTAACCTTATAGATATTCGAACCAAAGAACTCTAGGGATAACAACTCTATGTTTAACCACTGAGGTCGCTTAAGGAGTTCAAGTCCGAATAACATAGTTAATTTCTCCTTGTGAGCTGCAAGCCTCTTGCACCAGGGACTAGACTATTATTTCGCAGCTTCTCTTCTAGTCTTGTTTGTGTCTTCAGTCTTCATATGAGGCAATGCAAGTGCTCATGAAATCTTTCTGACCTGCTGCAGACTTGTTAGTCATGGTGATGGCCAATGCATTAGTTGACATCCCAGCTATCCGAAAGATAGAGAAACCCGGGAATGTTCATTAAAGTAGGCACCCTACTGGGAAAATGATTATGCATAGCGGTGGACTAACAGTTCTTTCGCGTTATCTCCAATCTTCACAGGGTTCTTGTCATGATATTTGCAAATATGGAACACATGATTCTCCTAGAACCGAGTCAAGGATCCTGAGGAATCCTATGCTTAAAATAGTTGTGCAGAAACAAGGTGCAGGCCGAAATCTGGAAAAAATCTCCGGAAGTAATTTAGTGGATAGGAAGAAGAAAACGGGAATTATTGTTACGGTTTCTCCGGATTTCAAAGCACGGGAACCTGATGATCATATTGTCATCAAGATTGCACAAACACAAGGACACCATGGGGAAAACGTTGAAGAAGATTTAACTGATACGAAGAACTCGAAAGTTGGTATCAGGCCTTCCAATGATGCTGAGCTGAAGAAACCAGAGTATCCTGCTATCAGTCTTGAGCCCTCTCGTGAAGATCGGATTGACATTAACGCTATGGCAGTAGAAGGTGAAGCCAAAGATGAAGAAACTGATGGAACTAAATCGCCCGAAGGAGAAAAGAGTCAACAAGTTAGCGTGAAGCCTTCTCCTGATTCCGAAGCCACAAACCTGCTAATCCTGATTGCATTGAAGGTGGAGTATCATCTTGGACTGAAAGAATTTGTCTTACCAGAACAAGTGTTATTATCTCGCAAGGACTGTGCGGTTGCTCAGGGTTTCAAATCGCGGTCGCATTTTCGGTTATTTCGGATTTACCGTGATTGCGGCCGTCGTGGGCACTATTGATGTTGTCGCGGACGCTATTGCGGCCGTCGCAGGTAACTCGGACGACAGTGAAACCCCTATATCACTGCCGAAATCGCGATCGCGGACCGTTTTTTGAAACCCTGCGGTTGCACATGCAAAAGATTCAAAACCGAGGCCTCGGTTGAAATCACTGTCTCTCGTAAGGCAGACATGTCCGAGTGTCAAACAGAAATCCTTAGGCCCAAAAAGGAAGGAAGCAAACATTATGTCCATGACTTCATCTGACGTTTCTGGTGGAAGAAATATAGGTGAAATGACAATAAGCAAAGGAATAAGGACCTCTGCGGTTGATAATAAGAAAAGTGCAGTGACACCATCTGTTTCTTTGTCTCCCAAAGAATTCGGTACAGGTGTTTCGAGCATGAATACCAAAAAAAGAAGTTGAGAGTAGCTTATCATCTGAAGAAGCAGGAGAATGCAATGTAAACTAAGCTGGAGAAGTTGCAGGTTATGAATGCCGAAGGGTCGGATAATCTAAACGGAGTTTCTCATTTGCTGGATCTGGAGAATGTTAAGAAACTTAATTCAGAGCAAGCCAAGCCTGCGAATGTTCCTGAGACGACTTCATACCAGATTGAGTCACACCCTGAGAACAAGCCTGCAAAATCTGATCGACACAATGTTGTCTCGATAAGGCCATCTTCATCGTCTAGGGACAAGACCGTGAAACAAAATTCAAACAAAATTCGAATAAGCCGACCACCTCATGCACATGAGAAGAAAAAGATGATATACACGCCAAAGGTGATTCAAGCCAGTGGGGTGTCTCCGTCTTTATCCTCATTCCAGGGTAGGAAAAACTTGAGACCAACTCCAAATGGATTGGAAATTACTCAACCATCTTTAACTTCCTTATCATCGTCGGCATCCCTCGAGTCTTTCCATAATGATATCTCAATTGATCATGATAAAGCAGTTGCAGAAAAGAAAAAAGGTAGCTCGAAGATGATGTACAAGGTTAAACCTAAAAGGGCATTGATGATTACCTCGAATAATAAGCATTTACACGGTAATAAGTTGAATTTCCAGAAACGAGAGCCCATTGACAGCAGAAACGATGATAACCGAAAAGGCAAAGTCGAGGACTGTTCCAAGGGGACTCAAGTTTAGGCAAAGAATAAACGGTGATAATCAAAACAGTAGAGTCGAGGAGTTTAAGCCGAATAGACTCGAGTTCAGGCAAAGAGTAAATGCTGACAACACAAATGGTGATAACCAAAACAGTAGAGTCATGGGGTTTACGCCAACGAGTTCAGGCCAAGAGTCATGGTAATAACATAAACAGTAGAGTCGAGGAGTTTAGGCCAAAGAGACTCAAGTTCAGGCAAAGAGTAGCAGCTGAAAACCGAGATGGTGATAACCAAAACAGTAAATTCGAGGAGTTCACTCCAACTAGACTCAACTTCAGGCGAAAAGTGAATGCTGACAACAGAAATGATGATAACCAAAACAGTAAAACCGAGGAGCTTTCTACAAGAACACTCCAATTCAGGCAAAACTCAATTGTTGACGACATGAATGCTGATAACCAAAACAGCAGGGTTGACGAGTTTACTACGACGAGACTCGAGTTGAACCAAAGAGCAATTGACGAGAGAAATGCTGATGATGAAAATGGAAAAGGTGAGGTCTCTACTCCAACGGAACTTATTTTCAAGCAAACAGAGGTTGATGGAAAGAAAAACAACTCTGGAGGAATAGAAGCCGATGTCGTCGTGATAACACTAAAATCCAATCCGATAAAATTTCTTTGAGACAGAGAGGTGTTAATGAGAAGAATGGTTCAGGAATTTTGTAAAACAATATCATTGAGCAGACTGTACGCAGGCTTGTAGAGACCAAGGCAAGTAAGGTGAAGGCTTTGGTCAGCGCTTTCGAAACTGTAGATTTATACAATACTCATTGTATTGAAACAGCTCATCATTCTTTAGGGTTACTGTACTCAATATATAGAGCACAGAATACAATGCTGAGCTGGTTAACAACCATGGCATCAGCATAACAACCACAGCAATCCTAACAACCCTACCCCAGCTCATGCAGTACTCCATGCATCCCATACACGCTAACATTTTCGCTGTTTCCTTCAGCTACGAGAGCTGCACTTCATACGCCAACATTCTTGCTACTTTCTTCTGTTGCAGCAACTAAAAACGTTTTGACAAAATATTGCATGAGAAGCTCTCGTCAAGGGTTTAGTCAGACCATCTGCGACTTGGTGTGAGGCATGAAAATAGTTAACTTTAAGAGTTTTGTTGGCAACTTTTTCTCGAACGAAACACATATCAAGCTTAACGTGTTTTGATCGAGCGTGGAAGATAGGGTTGGCGCTCATAGCCACTGCGCTCGTATTGTCGCACCAGACAACATGCATTGCATTAACGGTCTCGCCCATATTGAAAAACAGAGATTTTACCCACACTACTTCGGAGACAGCATCGGCAATGCTACGATATTCAGCCTTGGTTGTCAACCTTGCCACCGTTTTTTGTTTCTTTGAGTTCCAATAAACAATGTTGCGGCCAAGAAACACACAGCAACCCGAGATTGATTGTCGATCATCCACACTACTCGCCCAATCCGCGTCAGCAAAGGCAACAATACATTTATCCTCAGCAGGCATGGACGCTTGAAATACAAGTCCACGATCATTAGTTCCATTGAGATAACTAAGAATGTGTTTCACTGCAAACCAGTGACCTTCACACGGGTGATGCATATTACGTTATCACTGCTAGTCGAGATCCCCTATCCCTTAATGGAGTTGTCTCCATTCTCATTGACGCTGAGACTCAGTAAAAGAATTTTGAGAGGACGGATAATCTCTTGATGAGTGCCAATGTTTCCTAGCTTAAAGACGCTAAGCCCAGTGGTGATCGTTCATCTTTCTCGTCCTCCTCGACTGCTCCTCGCTCTTACTCTAGCTCTCGTGGTTCTTCGGGTGGTCGTGGTCGAAGGTGTACCAAACTTTAATGGCAACTGTATGGCAAGAATGGTCACATTGTGGACCGGTGTTGGTACCGGTTCGATTAAACCTTTCTCGAGGTCACCGCCTCTGGTTCTCATGGTTCGGGTGTTGACAGGCAGCCTATGGTGAATGTGTGTCACTATAATATTGGTTGCTCGGGCTGTGGGTGTGCAGGACAGGCTGGGTCTCGTTCTCCTTCCTTGACTGCGGCTGATCATAGCGGTTCTCGTGCTCATATTACTGAGGGCACTTCTGGTTCCTGGTTTGCAGATTCTGGTGCCACACACCATGTTACTTCGGATGCTTCTGAGGTGGTGGATGCGACTGAGTATACAGGCCTTGGTAAGCTTGTTGTAGATAATGGTAATAGCTTACACATCTCTAAGATTGGGCAGTCATCTCTTATTACTCCTCGCAATTTGAAGTTGAGTCATCTTTTACATGTGCCACATGTTACTAAGAAATTGCTTTCTGTTTCTAAGCTTGCTAGTGATAACGATGTCTTCTTGGAGTTCCATACTCGATGATGTTTGGTTCGTGATGAGAAAACTGGTGAGGTCTTGCTTCAAGGTCGGGCAATTGGTGGTCTTTATGAGTTTGGATCTATGGAGCGTGATAATAAGCAAGTTGCTGCTGAAGTTCACGTTGCTTTGGGGTCTTCCGATTTGTATCAAGTTTGGCATGACCATCTTCGTCATCTATCTTTTGAATCTCTGTTATAAGTTTGTACTCGTTTTAATGTGACTTTGCCAAAAGGCTTGAATAAAACTCGATGGCCCGTTTGTTCTTCATGTCAAATGGGAAAGAGTCCCCAACTTCCATTTCATGCTTCTAGTACAGTTTACTCTGAGCCGTTTCAGTTAGTTTACACCGACCTATGGGGGCCAACACATGTTGCATCAAATGGCTATAACTATTATGTCTCTTTTATTGACGCTTTCTCTAGGCACACTTGGTTGTATCTGTTGAAAACAAAAGGGCAAGCAGTGCACGCGTTTCAGATGTATAGACAATTGGTTCAAACTCAATTTAGTACCGAAGTTAAGGCCGTACAGAATAATTAGGGTGGTGAGTTCCGTTCTTTTTCGTCGGTTTTTCTCACAAATTCCATTCAACACCGTGTGGCATGTACTCGTATGTCTCAGTAGAACGGTGTTGTCGAACGTAAACATCGACATGTGGTTGAAATGGTGCTAACTCTTCTTGCTCGTGCCTCGGTTCCTCTCAAGTATTGGTCCTATGCGGCTGTGGCTGCTGTTCACTTAATCAATTAATTGCCAACTGAAGTTATTCGTCGGATCACTCCTTTTGAAAGGTTATTTGGTCGACAGCCAGCCTATGGTCACTTAAAAATATTTGGGTGTAGATGCTTCCCTTATCTTCAACCTTTCCAATCTCACAAGTTAGCCTTTCGATCCCAACCCAGTGTGTTTCTCGGTTACAGCCCGCAGTATCGTGGTTATTGTTGCCTTGAAACGGATGGCAAGATTTATGTTTCTCTGTTGAAAAGTCAACAAATGGCAAACTTGGCCACTTTCGGTGCAAATGGTTTTGGTGGAAATTACTTTCGGTGCATGCGATGAAATTGTCGAGAAAAAAAAGACTGGCACCGAAAATGTTGAAATTGGGTAATGGGAAAATTATAAATTTAGTCCCTACACTTTAGGATATTTACAAGATTAGTCCTTAAACTTTAACTATAAATACTCTAACCCATTTAGCTTCAAAACCATCCCAAATCATTCTAACTTTCTCCCAATACTAGAGAATTTAGAGAGTTTTCTTGAGAGTTGTTTTCTCCTTTTTATCAAAAGAGAATTGTTATTGTTTTCTCCTTGTTAGATCGAGAGAAGTTGTAATTTCTATTTTCTTATAGTGAAATTATTCTACCGTTGCCCGTGGTTTTTACCCTATATTATTTATGGGTTTTCCAAGTAAAATTTGTGTCTTCTTTATCTTCATTTTTATTTTATCAAATTATAAGTTGCGATTTTGCTCTATCCAATAGTCGTATTCCGTAACAATTGGTATCAAGAGCTAGATTAGAGTGTGTAATATCTACTTATTGTCTTTGTGGTTACCAGCAAAAGGTGGATCCTCCAACATAAGAAAGTAAGAAGGTATTACCCATTCTTTAAAGGTTCCAGAGAACTATTCACGATAGTGAAATAGTGGGAGCTATCCGTAATAGAAGCTATGGCAACGAAATTTGATATTGAAAAATTTAATGGGAGAAATTTCTCATTGTGAAAATTGAAGATGAAGGCCATCCTGAGGAAAGATGGTTGTGTAGCAGCTATCAGTGAAAGGTCGGTAGATTTCACAGATGACAACAAATGGATCGAAATGAACGGGAATGCTATGGTAAACTTTCATCTAGCATTAGCAGATAAAGTATTGTCAAGCATCGAGGAGAAGAAGACAATTAAGGAGATATGGGATCATCTCACCAAATTGTACGAGGCCACATCGTTGCACAATAAAAATTTCCTTAAGAGGAAATTGTACACTCTCCGTATGCCAGAATCTACTTCAGTGACGAAGCACTTAAACACGCTGAACACTTTATTTTCTCAGCTTACATCCTTAAGATGTACAATAGGAGAATAAGAACGTGTTGAACTTCTACTTCAAAGTCTACTTGATTCGTATTATAAACTCATCATTAACTTGACAAATAGTAATGTCACCAGTCTAGTCTTCGATGACGCTGCAGCTGTTGTTCTACAAGAAGAAAATCGGCGCAAAAACAAGGAAGACAAATAAGTAAATCTGCAACAAGAAGAAATATTGACAACGATGAGAAGGAGATCAACAGAATGTGGCTAAAGCAGCAGTCACAAACATGGTAGATCAAAGTCGAGAAGCAAGAAGAAATTAAAGTGCTACAATTGTGGAAAGAAGGGCCACTTGAAGAATGATTGTTGGAGTTTAAATAAAAACTACAATCCATAAGGTAATACCGCAAACACTTCAGATGATGGAGATGCTCTATGTTGTGAAGCGTCAACCACCGTGGAAGGAAGAAAAATTTTTACAGATATATGACTCATTGATTCGGGAGAAACATATCACATGACCTCAAGAAGAGAATGGTTCCATCATTATGAACCTGTCTCAGGAGGATCTGTGTATAGTTGCAATGATCATGCCTTAGAGATCGTTGGTGTGGGAACCATCAAATTGAAGATGTATGATTAAATAATTAAAGTTGTTCGAGATGTCCGACACGTGAAAGGCCTGAAGAAAAATTTATTATCCTACAAATTATTGGATAATAATGCAAGCAAGATTGAAACACGGAAAAGAATCATGAAGGTGTTCCGTGGAGCGCTTGTGGTGATGAAAGGTGAAAAGATAACAACAAACTTGTACATGCTGAAGGGAGAGACTTTGCTAGAAGCATAAGCCTCTATTGCCTCATGTAGTTTAGATTCTGCAATGCTATGGCATCAGAAACTTGGACACATGTTAGAACAAGAAATGAAAGTCCTTGTGGACCAAAAGCTACTTCCAGGCTTAACAAAAGTATCTCTTACTTTGTGTGAGCATTGCATAACAAGTAAGTAGCACCGGTTGAAATTCAACACGTCAAATTCTAGAGGTAAAAGTGTTCTAGAATTGGTTCATTCTGACGCATGACAAGCACTAGTTACATCCCTGGGCAGAGTAAAATACTTTGTCTCATTTATTGATGACTACTCCAGGAGATGTTGGGTGTACCCTATTAAGAATAAGTCAGATGTGTTTTCAACTTTCAAAAACTTCAAAGCACGAGTGGAACTTGATTATGGAAATAAGATCAAGTGTTTTAGAATAGATAATGGAGGATAATACACAAGTAAGAATTTGATGACTTTTGCAAGAAGGAAGGTATTAAAAGACAGTTCACAGTGGCGAACACTCC